AGATGACTACAATAATTACTATCATTAATCACTTGTGAGAAGTTTTATTACTTCTACTGCATAGTAGCTGTATGCAAAAATGCATTATAGCTTGTAATTCTAACAATAATCACTAAAGAGAAGATTTTATATATCATTATCATCATTAGCTATATACCCAAAAAAAATACTCGATCACATTCTGCAATTGTATTGAGAATCAATGTCAAATCAAAAGCTGCTTCAACCAGCCCACCGGGCCGTCGATTTGTGGCCCACAAGAGATGAAAAGGATCCATTGTGCTTTCGTGTTTATTTGCATTTAGATTAGGGCGCAAAAAACAGAAGCGGCCGGCCCACTTCTGTTTTTAAGCAAAGCTTAATTCATGAATAAAGCGAAATCAATAACCAAATAAGCAAATGGCTAAATGACAGCCACAAAAGGCAGCTGAAACGCGAAACATGTCGCAGATGGTGTCAAAGCTGTAAATAAGTAAATAAATATAGACCACAAACGATGTGGGCGAGTGTCTGTGTGTGTGTGTGTGTGTGAATGTGTGCCTATTAAAATATGTGAACGAATGATGTCGCGGGAGCGAGATGAATTTAATTAAAATGTTGACCGACAGACCAACAGCCAGCTACGTGTGTATAGTATGTGTGTGTGTGTGTTTGGTTGTGCAACTGTGCGTATGAGTGACATTAATGCGAGCACTGAAGCTGGTCAGGAAGAGGGACAAACAACACACGAGCAGCAGCAGGAGCAGCAGCAGCAGCAACACCAACGCATTTTATGCGTGCTGCCCATTGTTGTTGTTTGTGCTATTTATGCGCCTGCGTCTGTCTATACACGAGTCTCTGTGTGTGTGTGTGTGTGTGTGTGGTCGGTTCATTTGTATGCGTCGCCTGCTGGTTTAAAAATAGAACAAGCTGTTCTCGCCTGATGTCCTTTTAGCCAGCCCAAACACCTCACACCGCACCACCACCTGCCCGACCACCCACTCGCAGCTGCCGCCCCCTCAGGCAACTGGCTAGAATTTATGGACGAAAATATAAAACAGGAGAGTGCTACACTCATACACATACAAACACACACACAGCACTCAAACACAACAACCACAAACTAAGACGAAGTTTGTTTGATTTTAGCTTTTMTTTCTTTCATTATTATTATTTTATTTATTTATTTACTTTTTTTGGCTTGTGCGTTTTGCACAATGCGATAATTGTGCAAGACTTGACACTCACACACGCATACTTACACACACACACACGTGTGTGTAACAAAGGGCAGCCAACAAGCGAGTGAGCGTCCGTGTGTTTGTATACGGTATTGATTTTTGCCTTCTTTTGCGCCTTCTTTTCTTCGTTCGCCTTGGCCATCTCTTTGCCACCATTGCTTCCTCTCGCTCTCTTTCCACTCTTTCGCTGCTGCCTCAATGTGCGTGAGTTTCGCCATTTGACTTTCAAACAACACTGCACGATAATAACAAAAAACACGTGTTCTTAGAACGAAATAAAGAAAACACATATTTAATTATTATAATTTTTATTTGTACTTATTTTTAGACTATAATGTATTATTATTTTATCATAATTTGTGTCTATCTTTAATAATATTGCTTCATTTGTTTGCTATAATTGCAGAAATATTTTTAGTAAATTTATTTCAATTGAATTCTAACTTATTATTATTGCTTAATTATTTCCTAAATATTGAAATATTTATGATCAGAATATTAATTTTTAGGGGAGTTACACGCAGACCTAACTTATCCTCCAGATGGAAGCGAAATACTGAATAGATAGAGCCAAAATTGAGCTTTGATCTCTGGATCAGATTTTTATTTTTCAGTAGGCCCAGAATTAAACTAGAAAATTTTGAAAATAAAATCAATGATACAATACATTATTTTATTATAATGATTTTAAAATTTGTTAAGATTGGAACTTCAGTCTGTAATAACCACTTATACGTATTAATTAAATAGATTGTTCTTGGGTTTCTGATTATTGAAAATATACATAAGTCATTTCCACATTTTAGTATTCTTTAGGAAAACTTTCAAAAAAAAAAAAAAAAAAAAATTACACTATTAGGAAATGAAACTGATTTAGTGTAATCCAAGCAGAGTAATCCTTTCCAAAACTCATTAGGACAGGTCTCACGAGAGTGCTATAGCAGAACTGTAAACTTTTAACAAATAATCTAGATATGTAAAATTTAGCCTTTGCTTTGCTTTCCTTTACTCTCGTAAGTTCCTTTGTTTTCGCTAAAGCGCCATCGCTGCGTTTTCTCATGTAAATTTTGATGTTATTTATTTATTTATTTTATATATATGTTTTTTTTTTTATATATTTATTTTCTGCGTAATTTTGTAGTCGTTACGAACACAATAAACGTTTTCTATCGTGACCAAAGTCAAAAGAAACTGTGCCAGGGGTATGGCCCACAATGGGAGGACAGCTACCGTCTGTGTGTGCGTACGTGTGTGTGGCTGTGTTTGTGGGGCACGAAACTAGTTTTCATTCAAGCGATGAGTGTGTGCGCTTGTGAATATGTGTGCGTGTGTTTGTGTGTGTGCAGAGCTTAAGAAATGGCCGCAGTTCATTTTTCAAGCAATTTACATTGTGCTCGCAGCTTGTAGCTAAACAAATTATGCTGTAGCTGAAGATATACTTATAAATTAATTATAAACTCGCTTGAGCACTTTTCTACTTTAATTTACGGAGCCTCGCACTGTACATCAAAGATGATTATTGATAATCAAGCAAAATATTAAGTGTAAATTATAAGCTAGCTTTAAATTAGTTTAGTCTAAGTAATGCGCCCTCAATTCCCTAATGCCATTATTTTTATTTACATTATAAAAAATATATTTTCTCTACTCTCTCTTTCTCTTTGTTACTCCAATGTGCGACCCCTGTAAAATCCCACAAAAAAAAAAAAAAACAAATATTTGTATGTTGAAACTTGCCCAATAAAAAAAAAAAAAAAATGTAAATATTATGCCGCCAAAAACTATTTGCCAATTCGAAAACTGTTCACAAATTTTATTGCAATAATTACAACAACAACAACAACAACAACAATAACAACAACAACAGCAGGTAATTTTGGCGTCGTGCAAAGCGTCCAAACAAATCTCTCGCCCGGCGATCTACAGATTCATGCAAATGTAAGCAAAGATAAATAACAGAAAAAACCAACAAAAAACAAAATCAAGAGCAATTTTGAATTTGATAACATTTCTAATGCGTGTCTGTATTTTATTGTTATCGGTTATCGTTTTCTTATGATTTGTGATTTGCGAAAACACATACAAAATGGAATGTACATTTTACCCACTGTGTCGTCTATTTCTCTTGGTCTCTATTTTATCTCTCTCCTATCCAAAGTTTCGTTCGTTCGAGCACCTTTCACAGCCCACATTTTTAGCCTTTTTTACTCGTTTCACATTATTTTTTTCGATGTGTGTGATTATTCGATGTGTGAGGCGAATAGCTGCCCCTCCTGCTCCAACACTTTGTTACTGTTTGTTTCTTTTGTTGCTTAACAAATCCTTTCACACCTTCAAAGTACCGCTCGATGCGCTGTGTACACACTTATTATTATACGTATTCCTCTTACGTTTCTTTCTTCCAATTTCTTCAATTACTCTTTTGAATTACTTGTACTTGTATATTTAAAAACAAAAAACAACAAAAACAAAAATTACAAATTAAAAAAAAAAAAACCAAAACAAATACGTGAAGAATTTGCATGGATATCGTAACGCTGTTTCCAGTTTCCTCCTTACTTCAACACAACAACAAAACACACTTGAGCCCAACATCTCTGAAACACACTTCAC